TATATATATATATATATATATATATATATATAATATCATAATTAAATCCTTAAAAATTTAATTATAAAAAAAATAAAAATAAATAAAGGTTCCCATTTTCCTCCATGATGCGTGTCATCCCCATTAAACTCCCCTCCCATTACACTCTCCATGACACCCTTCACAATGCATGAAGGGTGTCATGGTTCCCATTACACTCTCCATGGCACCCCATTGGAGATGCTCTAATCCCAGGATAGAGGGGTAAGGACATCTCGACTGTTGTGTTAAAATGAAAAAAAAAGATTAAAATTTTTTTTTCTTCAACCTGATATCTTATATGTTAAAATAGAAAACAAAGAGAAAGATTATAAAATTTTTTAAATTTAGAGAAATCTTTAAACAGAGAAAAAAAAAATTATTTTAATATTTCTCACTAATAGAAGTATTAAAAATAAATGTTTAAATAAAAGAAGTAATATTTTATTAAATATATTAATTATTTTAATAATATAGTTAATACTAGAATTATTAAAATAGAATAGTTGTTGAGTTAAATATAATTTTTTTATTATTTTTTTTAACAGTTTAATATTTTATTTAAAAAAAATATAGATAATTGTTGAAGGTGATATTACATATCTCATGACTCACCACTGTGTATGTGCATGCACCTACCTCTCCTATAATTTAAAAAGTTATGGGTTCACAAAACCACAAAACTCCATACCCCTAATAATTAATAAGAATACAAACTTCAATCACTCATCCTCAATTCCTTGTGCTATGCCAACAAATTACCTTTTGGTTTTCGAAGTGGGTTATTATACAACCTTTTATATTTATATAATTAATACAAATTAATATCAATCATTTATTTAATTTGATTAATATGTAATTTTATAGAAGTTTTGATTGTTTCATAATATAAAGTATTGATTATAATTAATGAACCTTATTCATCTTCCATAAATATTTAAATCATAATAAATGAACTCTCATCATTTCCATAAATATTTCAATTTATTATGTTGCATTGGTTGTACAAATGCGATGAGTTGCATTTGAAACAAACTATCTCTCTCTCTCTCTCTCTCTCTATCTTTATATATATATATATATAAATATATATATATATATATATATATATAGAGGAGCGTTCAAATAAAAACTTGCCCCATTTGTGTAAACCGTGTAAACCAATCTCATCCGTCCATTTTCTTGATCAATGATTAAGATTAGTTTACTTTATTTTAGGAAATTAAAAAATAAAAAATATTAAAAAATTATTTTATTTCAATAAGGGCAAATTGGTAAACAAAAGTTAACATCAATATAACATTAATTCCATAAATAAAAGTTAACATCAATATAACATTAATTCCATAAACAAAAGTTAACATTAATATAACATCAATGAACCATTTTATAATGAAATCTTGTCACATTAACATTAATTCCATAAAGAACAAAATATAATATGCACTTGTTTTATCATATATTTATTTCATAAAAGAACACAATACATTACGCACCCGTTTCATTTTCATCCTACCAACTAAACAGATCAACTTCAATCACAAAGCAACATGGATCATCATGAACCTAAATGTACATTCAATCACAAAGCAACAAGGATAACCATGAAACTTCAATCACAAAGCACCTATTTCATTAACACGTATAATATGCATAGACGGAGCAAATAAACCATTTTACAATGAAACCTTTTCACATTGAAACAGTTTCATGACCATTGTTTTTTGAACTTTGTTTATGAAACTATTCATTACAATATTTTCATTAGGAAATAGAGAGATTATATTATTTCGATTTTTCAACTGTTTTGAAACGTTTGATGAAACCGTTGCATCAATAGTTCATTTTCCTTATTCCACTCATATGAACATGATTCATCATTATGAACTTTTTCATTATGAAACAGTTTCATGAAACCTTTTCATTAAAGTGGATAATATGCCTAGAGTATTAATTTGGACAATATGCCTAGAGTATTAGATTATAAACATGCTTCATCATTATGAACATTTTCATTATGAAACAGTTTCATGAAATTTGCCCCATATGAAACAGTTTCATGAACTTTAGGAATGAAGTTCGCCCCATATGAACATCCCATATGAAACAGTTTCATTATGAATGCCCCATTCAAATAAAGTTTTTAATACTATAATATATTAAAAAATTTAATATGTTACCATTCAAGAAATTTCCATTATTAAATTTCCTTATTTAATATTTATTAATAACTACCTTATTTATCATAAAAATATAGAAAATGACCAAAATACCCTTATTGATTAAATTTAATTAAAAAAGAATGGAATTTTTCTATTGGTCGAATTTGGTTTACACGGTTTCTTAGAATTGCATGGTTTTCATTTGAACCTGCCCCTATATATATATATATATATATATTCATTAGATCACGAATTTAGGTATAGATGGTTATCTGTGGTTAAACAGTAATAATTGTTAATGAATAAGATTAAAGAGCGGTTGCAACCGGATCAAAGTTCAAAATCGAAGTCTGACTCCATTTGAGACTAAGTCTGATACGAAACACAACTCCATTTGAGACTAAGTCTGATACGAAACACAAGTATGAACAGAAGGTTCAGACGTTTGAATCAATGGATTCAGACGTATAAATCCATTGATTCAGACTTTCGACATAGTTTGGAACAAGTCTGAATACAAAGTCTAGATCTCTGACTTCATTAGTCCAGACTTAGGACTTGGCTAATTTCTTCAAGTTTGAAACCACATTTTAGAGGTCTGATATAAAAGGATCAGATGTCTGAGTCTATTATTAGACTTTATAATCAGTAAATTTTTTGATAAGTTCGATTTTCCTAATTTCAAAACCCTTTTTGATTTTAAACAACAAGACATGAGATTTATATATAAAGAAGAAGAAAGCTCATATACTTGCAAAAACTTTATTTTAGACCTTATTTGTTGGCTCAAGTTTGATGTCAAAATTTTGACAATAGAGATAAAGATGAGTGTTTGGTTGATGACTTTTGTTATAAATTTTTATAACTTCAACAAAAAGAACAATCTTTTATATAATCCATCATCTTTTTTGGACTTTTATTTTGCATTTCACCATCGTCCTACTCGACCACTTGCATATATACTTTAAGAAAATCAAGATCTACTTTTCCTAATGGAGAATTAAAGATATGTCTTTGTCAGATTTTCTTTATCTGTGATATTATAACAAAATAAATAAGTTATATGAAATATGAAAGTGTGAGTTGCTTATATGAACGATCCCATATCCCACATGCAACTGCTTCTTTCTATCTCTCCTACATTACTTTCAATTGGTTAATTTACTTACCTTCAGTAATTATATGTGTCATCGTTTTTTTTTACTTAAACAACTTCTCTACCCTTAAGGACATGATAGCAAGGTCTGCATACATATGATACCCCAAACTCTAGTATTATGTAGGAATTAGGATATATCATATTCGTTTGGTTTTTGATTTATTGTTTTTTGTACAAATCTCTTTCTTTCTAATTCACCATCCACTCCACCTATCTACTTGTTTCATTCAAGATTCTTCTTTGTGTTTAATGGAAATGCTTTTCTTTTCCTCATTTCCCTTCTGTATCCATTTTATAGTTGCCAAAAGTCTCTTTCGTTTCAAGACTTAACAAATTTGTTTTGCATATATAGCTCATAAAATATACATATGACCCAAGATAAGGCATAACAAATGAAAGAGATGTTAAAGGTTGTATCAGTCATATATAAAGGTGCCTTCTTTTTTACTTGTAACTTATCAAACAAGCAAATAGGTTGCATCATGTATCGAATTTTATCTTTTGGACGGTTCAATATGAGAATGGGAAGCTTTGATAACTATTAAGGATAGTCTTGTTCATATACATAAAAACTTAAAAAGTAATATAATTGAGAAGAAAATGCATTCATAATTTAAACCTTTGATCTCTCTTATTTTTAAGGAATTTATTATCTAACTAATTTTTAATTAAAATAACAATCTTGTCTTTTTACTTTTTCTTTATTTAAATAAAAAAACCAAATTCCCTTATTTAATGGGACAATTTTTTTATGTTTCTATTGTTTTTAAATTATGAAATAATTTGGATACATACCCAAATCAGTTTTATTTTTTTTGTTATTTCATAGTTTTTTTAATGAATATATGCATGTCATATAAACGAGAGTCTAAGTCGAATATATGCATCTTATGGGATACATAAAGGACTGAGATTGAATTAAAATGGAGTGCAAGGATTGAAACAATGTGTGAAGTTGCATTTGATTTGTATTATATATATATATATATATATATATATATATATATGGACTTTCTTTTGAGAACCTATGAAACTGTGATAATCTTGAGAACTTGTGTATCATATGTTATTTCATATGATTTTTTTTCCATCTAAGACCAAAAATTAGAATATTGATTAACATATATTTGTTTCACAAGGTGTTTGTTTCACATGTATTCGGTTCACAATGTAAATATTTTTGACGTGTTTTTGAAATAAAAAATACACATAAAAAGTTTCACATCGTCAACTGAATATATATGAAACAAACACATTGTAAAACACATATATATATATTGATCAAAACCATAAGGTAAAAGTTTCCACGAATCTCACAAATTTTGGAGTTATCAAATGAGACAAGACCGTTTTCGTGAAACACAAAAGACACGATTTTTACACTTAAACTTCACAGCAAAACACTGTGAAAGTAACCTTCACAATATTTTTGCTGTGAAGATTCGATTTTTTTTTACTTTCACAACATTTTGTTGTGAAGTTTCAAGTGTAAAAATCATGTGTCACGAAAACAACCTTGTCTCACTAGAATTTTTACTTGTAATTGTGAACAATCTTAATTTGGTATTGAAAGGGAATTCCGATTATTAAAGATGCGAAATTGATTTTAAAGCATACAAAGCCATCAATTTATGTTTGAAAGCGTGATTCATGATTCCTTTCTCAAAATCAAAGTCTTTTGTTTCCTTTCCCTTTTTCTTTTGGGATAATTATGAAGAAAAGAAAAAGGGTGTTATATATATATATATATATATGATTCACATATATATATATATATATATATATATGATTCACATATCAAAACTTATCCAATTGGATATTCAAGTGTGAATAATATGTGCGATGCTCAAGTCCTTTCATCTCGTGTCATCATTTTCGGGGTTTTAATATGTGGGTGGCTTAAGGACGAAGACGTTAGGAAATCAATTTCTAAAGGCATTTCTACCAATAACTTTAGTGAATGTTATATCTAATATGGAGTCAACATTGGTCAATAAACATATATTTGTCGCCATATATCTCGTGCAGAAAGTAAGCATCCCTTTGATACTTGCTCAATCAGATTTCGGAGTGAGCCAGAGGCAATGACAAACAATATTAGCTCTTATTGACTAAAAGACTGTCAAAACCTAATAAACAACCCCTGAATTGGCCAGACTAATATAGCACTTTCAAGATAGTGTTTCTCAATTTGCTTCTTCATCAATCACCTCCAACATGCTTTCAATTAAAAGAAAGAAAACACTAATTTTAAATATTATTTATGAAATCATTAAGTGTTTGTGATTTTATAGTGATCTTTTTTTCTGGAGAATTTTGTTGAGGAAAACGAGCACTTTTACATTGGAATGAGGATGTAACACGAGTATATATAATCTACTTCATCCGCCTTGTTTTATTATTCAAATTGTATTGACAAATTGCACTTATGTTACATCTCTTTTCTATGGGCATTAACTATTTCTCTTACATAAATCATTCTAGTTTTCATATATAGGTGTGTCCAAAATCATTTAGATTATGTGTATCGATAAATTTATTTAAGTTTTTTTAATAAAAAAAACATCTTCATATAAATTCATCATTTTTTGAAGTTTTATCAATGGACATTTATATTGCATTTCACTATCATCCTACACGGCCACTTGCATATATACTTTAAAAAAGAATCGAGATTTTATTTCTTAGGAGAGAGTGAAAGATGTCTTTTTTGAATTTTCTTTATTTGTAATGCGATAACCAACGTAGAAAGACAAAATAGATAAGTTATATGAAATATGAAAGTGCACTTGTTTTATTTGCATATATATGATCCATATCCCACATACAACTAGTTTTATCTATCTCCCCTACATATTATTCTCATTTGGCTAATTAATTACTTAATTACCTACAGTAATTACATGTGTCATCGTTTTTGATGTATACAAAATTCACGTAATTAAACAACTCCATGCCTGCATTCTACCCCTAATGTGTTTGCTTGCTTTTAATTTATCATTTTCTTTTTTGCATGCATACTTTTTTGCATACATACTTGTTTCATTCGAGATTCTTCTTTTTCTTTTCATTTTCCCTTTTATTGTCAAAAGTCTCTTTTTTCATTTGAGGACCCATCAAATTTCTTTTGAATGGCTATGAAAATACATATAATCGATGATAAGGTCAAATAAATGAAAGATTTGTTGAAGGTTGTATTGCTCATATATAAAAGTGCACTCTTTTTTTCTTATCTTGAACTTATCAAAAAAGCAAATACGTTGTATCATGTATCAATTTGATAATTTCGATGGTTCAACATAAGAAGCTAGACTCTATACACTCTTATATGGGAAGCTTTGATAATTTATTAAGTCACAAAGGGTATTTTTTTTGTCTATTAATAAAGTGGTCTATAAACTGCTAGTATTGTGTTAATCCTGGGTCCTTGATATTCTTTCACTTTCTCCTTTAATTAAGAGAATCAAAATCTTGTAGGCTCTCTAACCCTTGGTCGGCAATATAATTACATGGATAGTCTTGTCCTACATCATTATTAATTGTCCTACACTTTTATTATTTCAAAATAAAATAATAAAATAAGAGGGATGCACATCTCGTATTCAAGTGTAGGGGCACTATCTATATGTCCCAAAACCATGGGCATTTCCTTGTCTCAGCCTATTGTTTTTACCCCTAAACCCTTGGGGCTGTTTCACTCTCTCTTTTTCTCTTTTGGTGGTTTGCTTTAATCTATTTAACCCCCATTCCACTCTTCACCATTTCACATCATCTTCTTCATCAAACACTCGAGAACAAGAATCAGAAAAGTAATCAAAGATAGGATGAGTTCAACAAGCAGAGCATGGATGGTGGCCGGAACTGTTGGGTTGGTGGAGGCACTCAAGGATCAAGGCTTTGCACGATGGAACTATGCCATCAGGACCCTCCACCATCACGCCAAGTCCAATCTCCGCTCAATCTCTCACATCAACCACCTCTCATCACCGGTGGCCATGGTCTCAAGCAAAGGCATGGAAGAGAAAATAAGTCAATCGGAGGAGTCATTGCGAAAAGTCATGTATTTGAGCTGTTGGGGTCCCAATTAATCGACTCTTTTTAGTTTTTTGTAGGTAGATGCATAGATATCACAGGAGTTTTACTTGTAATTATGTACGATTTTTGTTATTGAAAGAGACTTCCGATTTAGATCAAATCGGTTAATAATTATAATTGTAGATGGTTGTGTTGTGTGTATGATGTGAAATTGATTCAAAAGCATACAAAACCCATGGCTCCAATCCAACCTCACACTCATGTGCACAGCTCTGTATTGGATCATAATTTCTCTTTTTCAGATGGGTATTTATTGAGAATGATATGTTTGAAAGCATGCATGATTCAGGGTTCCTTTTTTAAATTGGAAGTCTTTTGTTTCATCCCCTTTTTCTTTTGGATAATTAGGAGAATCAAAGATGTAGATAGATGATAACAAAATAAAAAAGGGTGTACTGTTATACCATTGATATACTTGAAGTGATGAATAATTTTAGTGAATGTTATGGAATAAGCATTGGCCAAGCAATAATTGTTTTAGATTAAGCCGCGAATAAATTGTTGCTATATATCTTGTACCCAAGTAAGCATCCCATTGATCCCTTGCTCACTCGGATTTTGAAGTGAGTCAAATACAATGATAAACAATATGTTATCTCTTATTAAATAAAAAAGGGTCAAAACCTAATAAACAACTCCTAAATTGGCTAGACTAACGTAGTACTTTCAAGAGAGTGTTTCTCAATTTAGTGTGAAGACCCATTAGATGGTATAGCCTTGATCCTGGCCCTAGCCGACACCCCCAATTGATTAAAAAGGTGAGCTCGTATTAAACCATATTTTGTTGTTCCATTAAATAAAAATAATACTTGATATATCTCGTTTCTTCTTCATTAAAACTAGTCAAACTTAAGCCAATGGATGCCGTATTGAGCAACCATCAAGTAACACCATCATCAAGCTTCGTCTTGTTAAAATACTTTTTAGAGATGGAGTATAAAAAGAGAAATAATGGACCTAACTATAATTTAAACCTGGGACATATACCGAACCCATTTTGTTGTTGAATCATTACACCAAATTCCAAGAATACAAGTTGAAGGATTTTAGTTCCGTCTTAAAGATATTTTAATTTTGTTTTTACTAATAAATCCTTGGACTTTTAATATATAAAAATGACTGGTAATCTACTATGGTAGTAAAAATCACATTTTATTATTATTAAGTTCTTAAACTATTGAAAAAAGCATTAAACTTTTACATTTGAATGATTAAGTTCTTGAACTATTTTCCTGAATGAAAAAACCATTAATTTTTTTTTTTTGATTGATTAAGTCTCTAAAMATTTTTTTGAATAAATAAACCATAGGACTTCTAAAAATTGGTTACATACATATTTTTTTAAATAAGCTACATGTAATTGAATATGAAGATTCTAAAGTAAAAATAAACTTAAATCAGTTTTACTGTTCCCAAAATTTACGTCATTAAAACTTTTTGCAAACAAAGGTATGTATCGCTACCCCTCATCACTCCCTATTTCCCCAACTTTGTTCATTCTTCATATTGCCTAGCACGATGTTGGTCCTGCCATCAGTTTTTTTTTTTTTTTTTTGATTTGTTTTTTTATCTATTATAAGAGGGGAAATCAAAAAATAATCAATTACATGTAGCTTATTTGCGTTAAAAATATGTAAGTAACGAATTTATAGAAGTTTAATTGTTTTTTGATTGAAAAAATTAGTTTATTGATTTAATCCTTCAAAATAGAAAACTCTAAATAATTTTTTTTAAAAGTAGTTCAAAAATTTAATACATGGATAAACATAAAAGTGTATGTGCCAGCTAAGTGAAATGGAAGGGTATTATTGGGAATTGGATTCTCTAAAACCATTGGCTCTTACTTCCAGTTTTGATCTCATAAAAACTTGACACCTATTTATACCCCCATTCGATCCTTCTTCTTCTTCATCGATCACCTACAACTTACTTCCAATTTAAGAAAAAAGAAACACCAATCTTGAGATAGCATGAGTTCAACAAGCAGAGCATGGATGGTGGCAGGAGCCGTTGGATTGGTAGAGGCACTCAAAGATCAAGGGTTTGCACGATGGAACTACACCATCAGAACCATCCACCACCAAGCCAAATCCAATTTCCGGTCAATCTCCCACACCAAGAACCTGTCATCACCGGCGGCCATGGCTCCAAGCAAAGGCCTACGACTAGAGAAAACACGCCAATCGGAGGAGTCTTTGAGAAAAGTCATGTACTTGAGCTGCTGGGGTCCTAATTAAACATCCATACATATATATATATATATATATATATATATATATATATATATATATTTGAAGATAGGTTGATTAGTTCCAGTATACAAATGGTATACTCCATGCCATGATCCCAGGCCTGAACCAATTCAGCAAGTTGTAACATTTGGTTCTCATATAAATTTTCTTGTAAATGAATGAGATATATTTAAATTTAAGCAAGTGACCTGTTTTCTATACCAACCAACATCTATCTATCTTCTTGTGTTTTTCTTTGGATGCTTGAGACGGTTGCTTCATATATCCCTCAATACAACTAAACTCAGTAAAGGGGCTGTTCGGTAATGACTTAATGGGCTGTTAAGCCTGTATGGCTTATTCGGTCACCCTTATATTGCTGTTCGTTTTTGGCTTATTCTGTCAGCCGATGGCTTAACTGGTCAGCCGGAAAAGTGGAGTCCTATGGACTCAGCTACTTATTCAACCAGTCATTCCAAATATGCCCCTTCTCTCTTTTCCCCCTAAATTGAAGCATATCTATCCGGATTGATCTATTCCTTATCAAACCGAGATGGAACTTCTTCATTTTCATCTTCAACCTCACCTTCTTCATCTTTGCTTTACCTTTTCTTTTTCAAATTGGGCAAAAATGGAGATTAGAAAGTTCAAAGGTTTTTGTAAAAATATGTTTCTAGAAGGTTTTTTTTGGTCAGATATTTACTCTTTTGATTCACTTTCACTGATTTGGGTTTTCATCTGATTCAACATTTCGGTTTTATTTGATCTACATGTTGTTCTTGTTACAGGTACCTAATGTACTAAAATTGATCCACAAAGATTTACAATTAAAAAGTCATTTGTTCAACATTTTTATCAAACTGTTGTTTTATTCATACAAAAATAAAGATTTGGGGTAAAATGGTTATTTCTGACATTCAGACTATTTATTCAGCACAAAAATCGAACAACTTATCTGTTAATGTTCAAACAACTATATGAATACAGACAACTATATACATATAGGTTTTAACAGCAAACGAACCGAACAGCCCCTAACAGTTTCATCAATTCTTGTTTCTAAAAGCGTTTGGGCTAACAGTAGTAGGTAGTATTTACACTTGTACAATCAATGATTAACTAGAACTAGCTAATCTTTCTAACATTTTAATTGAAATGTATGTTTTTTTTAACAAAGGTGGAAATTGCAATGATCGGTTGTATATGAATTCAATAAAGAAAGGGAAAGGGCAGCAGCTGATTCAATGTCCATCCACGTGCCTTGATGTGTATGTTCGTTCATGCACCTGCTTCTCATATAAGTTAAAAAGTTATGTGCTCACAAAACCACTATGAATATGTCTTCCCTTATCTCTTCCTTCCATCTTCAAAACCACGACTCCGTACCATAATAATTTATAGCAATTAAGAAGTTATGAGTTCCACCAGCCGTGTATATATGGATGGCCGCCGGAGTAGCCATTGTCAATGGACATACCGATTAAGGCTACAAACTTCAATCACTCATCATCAATTCTAGTGGCTGATCCAGGATTTTATGAAAGCAGGTGCATAAACGAAAAACGAAAGCTTACCAAGTTTTTTAAGTAACAACCAACTCATCATCAACTTTTGTAAAAATGGTAAATAAAATTTCATATTGCATTTTAGTGCCATCCATTTAATATTTTGTATTATACTTATTGTAATTGATACATTTAAAAATGTAGCCACCCCATTTCGTATTTTTAAATATATTTGAAATTGTAATGTAAGATAGTTAAAAAACAATCATATTTTTCTTATTAAATTAATATCTATATTCATATATTTTTTTCATCCGTTTTTCGTGGTTGTTTGGTTTTTCATTTATTTAACGTTTTCCTTAAACATGAATACACACACATACTAGGCAAACGATCGTATGAGAAGGGAAGTTATGATGAAAAAACGTAAGAAGAGATCTGAATCATTGATTACTTTTACTATCATGTCCATCCATAAATTACGTTTTAGAAGAGAATTGATCCAGTTCATCTTAGTGCACCTCATTAGTGTTAACATTCAATTAATATTGATTCAAGGGTGGAGATATCTTCTTACGTTTCTCACAATAGCTTCTTTTCTCACCGAAACCCAACCCTATATATATATATATATATATATATGTTCAAACGAGAACAATAACCAAATAAAAAAACATGAAAATGGTCGAATCACAAGAACATGTGGGCAACGTATCCCACAACCTCGGGTCACGACTAAAGTCACATATGTAATGTTTTCTTACTTTCTTATTTGATTACCCTTTTCTCATACGAATCTAATATTACGTATATACATTATATATAATTGATAGAGTTGGATAGCGAAATTTCATTAAGATATAAACAAATAACACCAAATAAATCTATTTCAAAATAAAATAATATTATAAAGGGGAAGGAAATAAAGCTACACGTGGTATTGAAATATAGGGGCACTATAGGTCCCAAAACCATTGGTATTTCTTTGTCCCAACCTGCTCCTGTATTTGCCCCTGGCTTGTTTCAGTCCTTTCGGTGGTTTGCTTTAATCTATTTAACCCCCATTCCGCTATTCAGCATTTCAAATCATCTTCTTCATCAAACACTCGAGCACAAGAATCAGAAAAGTAATTAAAGATAGGATGAGTTCAACAAGCAGAGCATGGATGGTGGCCGGAACTGTTGGATTGGTGGAGGCACTCAAGGATCAAGGCTTTGCACGATGGAACTATGCCATCAGGACCCTCCACCACCACGCCAACTCCAATCTCCTCTCAATCTCTCACATCCACAACCTCTCATCACCGCTGGCCATGGTTTCAAGCAAAGGCATGGAAGAGAAAATACGTCAATCGGAGGAGTCGTTGCGAAAAGTCATGTATTTGAGCTGTTGGGGTCCCAATTAATCGACTCTTTTAGTTTTTTGTAGGTAGATGCATAGATATCACAGGAGTTTTACTTGTAATTATGTACGATTTTTGTTATTGAAAGAGACTTCCGATTTAGATCAAATCTATTAATAATTGTAGATAGTTGGGTTGTGTGTATGATGTGAAATTGATTCAAAAGCATACAAACCCATGGCTCCAATCCAACCTCACACTCATGTGCACAGCTCTCTATTGGATCATAACTTCTCTTGGTTTTTCATTATCATACTAAAGATATGTTTGAAAGCATGATTCAAATTGAAAGTATTTTGTTTCCTTTCCCTTTTTCTTTTGGATAATTATATATGAAGCATCAAGGATGTAGATGAAGTGATAACAAAAGAAAATGGTGTTATATGGTACATACACTTCAAGTGATGATGAATGTAGAACATATGTGTTCGAAATCATCAGAACAGAAAATAAAACTGGTAGTTGCGGCCCATGTTTGACACGGTTCGATAGGAATTAATTGAGCCAAAGAGACTGTGTTTTTCGGGAAAATGTGTTGAGGAAGGAAACAATCGAGGGTTTCCCAATTACGTCAGATAATGATGGAAACTATTTGGCAAAACTGAATTTCAACTTTTATGGTCAACCTCGAGCTGGCATTCATGTCCGATGCTCGCACACAAGTTGGATGGATGGTCCGAGCTCAATTCGGCCCAGTTTTGCACCGGCATGCACGTGATGAGAGCCTTTCCTCTTACAATCAAATCACTTATAAACCCATATAAATATGAGACAAACCCACTTTCATTTCTCACATTCACATTTATCTTCTATCCACTACTTTGACAATCAATTTCTCATTTATATCAACGTTTTATACGTGCAATATGCCGAATAGAAGCTTTCACTAAAGACTACATAAACCCATAAATATTTATCTATCACAAGTATAGGTTTAAGTGTATGTTTGGGTTTAAATTGAGAATAAAACCCAATATTTCCAACGCTTCAGTAATTATTCCCGATTTAAACCCAAACATAATTAGGAAATCAATTGACAAAGACATTTATATTATGAATAAACATTTGTTGCCGAACTCCCCCAATAATTTTAGTGAATGTTATATCTCGTACCCAAGTAAGCATCAGTTAGATTTTGGAGTACGTAAGTCAAAGACAATACTAAACAATATTATTTTTTATTGGATAAAAGATGGTTAAAACCCGATATACAACCCGTGAATTTGGTCAGACTAATGTATCACTTTCAAGAGAGTGTTTCTCGCATTGGTGTGAAGCCTCACGGCATAGCCTTGATATTCTAGGCTAGCTGACACACCGACCTAAAGGTGAGATCGTCCTGAACGATGTTGTATGAGATTTAGTAAAGTGGTAGAACAAAGAAAATTACACACGTATTTTGTAGTTTCATAAAATAAAAATATACTTAATACATCTTGTTTCTTCATGAACCTTCCCGTAAAAACACTCCAAAACTAGTCAAACATAATTTGATGCCCTATTGAACCATCAAGTAACACCATCAAGCTGTCTTATTAAGCATTTTTTGGAGGTGGTGTATAAAAGGAGAAACAATGGAGCTAATTTTGAGCTTGGGACGTACAACGAGACTATTTTGTTGTTGAATCATCACACCAGATTCCAATAATAGAAGTTAAAGGATTTTGGTTCCGTCTTGAACCATCTTTTTGTTTTTGTCAAGTTTGTTTCGTCTTTAATCATCCTATGAAGCATTTTCATGTTAAATTATTTGAGTTTTTTGTTTGTATGGATGTGGTAGGTAAGTGAGAAGCTCTGATGGAGAGAAAGAAGATGGAAACTAATGGATTACTCAAAAAACTAAGTTAATTTACAAGTTAGTTTATATTTCTATTCAACCTAATTTGAGAACACGACACCCGAAAGTATCTAGAGGCAAAATACATAACATTATAAAAAATAATGGTTCTGTTGTTAACTAATTAGTTAAAGATAGTAAGGTCTATTTGGTAGCAGTTTAATGAGCATAACGAGATTAACATCTTATATACGATTGTTCGGTTGTGGCGTAAAGATGGTGGCTTATTCAGTAAGTTTCTAGATAGAGTTTTATGTAAACTCTTCTAAACAAAAACTTTCTCAATTTGTACAGACAACTTCATCCATATAATACCTAACGAGTAGATAAGGGTAAGGATATA